AACATTATGCACGTGATCAAATATATCCAACTTTCTCATTCCCAAAATGGCAACCGAGCTCAGTGTACACGCTTCCATACTGCTCGCGTCGCTGTAGTAGAGCGTACAGCAGCTCCAAGCGTAGACAAAATCAATTTGGTTCGCTGTCAACGACAAGCATTAATAAAACTCTGTACTGTGTTACGCCGTTGTATACTGTTTCTGTGCACCCAAATAAGTTGGGTCCGTCTTCTCGCGTTCCTGTGCACGTCGCTTCAAAATTAGAACGAAACCTCGCGCTTGTCATCCATTTTTCGTTCGTAAATAGCGACTTGTCAAAGGTCACCGACTAATAGCGCCCCTTAGCCCGTGCTAACGACTGGCCCTCCCTGTGTGTGGACGCAATTGGGTCTAGCCGAAATGCAAATATGCTAGATAAGCCTAAACCAGCTTAAATCTTAGCCCATACTTCATGTAACGTGAACACAACTAATATAATGACGAAATAAACCCGTTAGTGTGTGTTGCGTGAAAGCTGTCTGGGTGCGAGTTTCCATCCTGTGAGTATCGGAATGATGACAATCAGTTATGCTAACAAGACCATACTTACTTGTATAAACCGTTGACGCATTTGTAGTATGCTTTCATTCATTCAATAAAAATATACAGTTATCCATCTATGATGCAAGCATGGCAAATATTAATGTTCCTTGCACAGAAAGTGATTAATAAAATTTCAACCTTAGGGTAGCGTATTGTTAGGAAACTATTCAAGAAATTGAACTCGGCATTAGCGGTGTACCATTTCAATTGTGTGTGTACATCCCCGAAACTTTCTGAGTAAGAGCTTTCTGTTTGCAAATATACTAGCGCTGAAAAAACGCCGTTATTACGCTTGTTACCGTCCACAAAAGGCAAATGTGAATATAAATTTAACACAGTAGTGGTTTATATTTATGACACAGTAGCCAGGATTTCATTGAGAGCCTGCATGCATGACTTGATTTGATGATGATTACAAATAGCACAGTAATGGTGAACTGTTAATTGTGGTTACGCAGTTAAAATAGCAGAACAAACTCAATAATAAAACATGCTCTCCAATATGTGTAGGTTAAGTACACCTAAATATAATTACGACTGCGAATGATGTTATATACACATGTGTTTTCCCTTCTACGCTATATTTTCTGCTAATGAAGTTATTTCACGTTTCATGTGACGTATATTCTGCCCACAATGCATTCATTTTGCTTGAGATACAGAAACCGATTTGACTAGTACGAGTACTAGTACTAGTCTTTTTTTTCTCCCAGATCAACAGCCTGAGAATCTTGCCATGTAAAGAAACAACACAAGCTCGACATCAATATCGTTTTCATTCATTTTTTTATACTAATTATTTGAGTGCACTGTTCCGTTAGACTCTGACTGAACTGAATCGAACTATGGCAGATCTCGGGTCTCGTTTGGCTCCCGACCGTATGAACGCATTGGAGATAATCTATTGTTAATCGGTGGGAGTAGCAGTAGTTCGGCTCCAATAGAATGCTGCCGTGTGAACATAGCAATTATCTCGTAACGCTGTAGAGCAGATATTCCCAAAATCACGCTTCTACACTGACATTGTACTGCAATGTATTCTTGAT